GTAGGTGCTGCTTCAATTCTGTATCTTTCAAAAATGTTAGGTGTTGCGCCCGTCCCGCCAGCGGGAAGAACGACAACAGGATTCTTCTCAAGCACACTTTATTGGGAGCTCCAAGCTGAAAGAGAGAAAGACTGAAAAAGAGAAGGAGAAGGACCCCAACCCTACGGAGCGCCAAGCTTATATACTCACGATGATGTGGACATGCAGCGTCGTCTGGCTTAGGTCTCATCGGACGATTGTGCATCACCCAATCGGGATAGGTGAGCAGCCATCTTAGGATAACGTCACAATGTTCATGCGCAGACGATTAGGCATGCGCAGACGATTAGGATACAAGAACAAACAAACTGATGTGGCAAAGCCTGACGAAGCCAACGTGGCCAGCGTGGCTTCCCACAGTTAGGCCTTACTGAAATAAGAAACAACTGTTTTGGATTTTCTTAGAAGGAATTTGGATCCCCTAGCTGGCTCATCAGCAGCTGGCTTTTCAGTTGTCATAGGTGAGTTTCCATTTCCTCAGAGAGGACTTTGAGCTCACGCGGGCTGCAGAAGCCCAACCCCCTCGGCCTTCCTCTGCTCCCCTTTTGATTCCTTCAGAGTATTTAACATGACTTGAAATTCCGGAATCTCTCTGTCCACTTGCATTGCAGGGCCTTCCCTTATCATAAGCTGGAAAAGGCAGGGGCCACACCTGCTTTGTAATGCTGTGTTTCTAGAGCCTGGTACAAGGCCTGGTCCAAAGCCTGAGTGAGCCTAGCACTCAGGAGGCAGAAGCAGGAGGGTCAGGAACTTAAGATCTTCAGATACATAGAGTTTGAGGCTAGCCTGGGCTACATGAGACCCTGCTTCCGATGAATGAATAAAGATAAATTGTTAGATGCAAGTTTTTCTCCTTCCCAGTGAAAATAATGATAAAATTCATAGTTTCTACTAATGTCTGATGACCATCAAGTGGCCCAAGACAGCCCTCTAACCCCATTCTTTCTACTTATCATTTGCAAGTTCTGTTTACTCTCAAGGGCCACTGTGAGGGCTGCCTGCAGGGCTTCCAGAGCCTCCTGAAAGAGAGGCTTATTTAGGCAGCTTCATTCAGACTCACTATTTTTCCTCACTTGCATATGTCATGGATACAATTTTTCAAAGAACCTCCAGAGTGCCTGCTCCTGTGTTCATTTGTCTCTTGGCCATCACGTTTGCCATTTATAAAAATCCCCGAGATGTACTCACACTATGACTCATAGGAGTAATGCTCACATCTAATTATTGAATACACTCTGGCCAGTAGAATGAAACACCAGTATTAGAATAATTTTTAAGATTGATTGTATCATTTGCTTCTGTGTGTGTGTGTGGGGGGGAGGGGTGTTTATGTGTTTGTGACTGTGTGTGAATGCCTGAGAAGACCAGAAGAGGGTGTCAGATCCCCTGGATCTTGAGCTTTGGATGGTTGGGAGTCACTCAGTATGGGTGCTGGGAACCACACTTCTCCAAGAGCAGCAATCACTCTTAACTGCTGAGCCTTCTCTCCAGCCAGGTCGAAATTCTTAACTGACATTTAAGAAAGAAATTAAGGGAAGGGACCTGAAGAGCCTGAACTCAGAGTGTTTGCTGCATTATTAATCAGCTTGTGCTCTTATTGACGAACCATTGGGAGCTGCTTAGAGTGCAACCACAAGGCTGCGGTTTTACCTTACTTCAGTACTCCGAGCACCACCTGAATCGTTGTATGTATGGCTGGGAACCTCACCTTATCTGTGGACAGGTGCCAGTGTGCAGTGTCTCAATACACACGTGATAATCTGAACCATCTCTTCAAAGAGCTTGTCTGCCGTGGCAAACAGGCCAACAGGATCGGCGAAGATGATGGCGCTTCTGGTCTTCGTTTCTTTCTTTCAGACACAGTAGTCCATTTGGTGGCAAAGGGCTGAGATGGCCTCTGATCCTTCTTTGGAGTATGAATTATTTCACCATTTTCAAAGTCATGTGATCTCATTCAGAGGCCAGTGAGGAAGCCACCTCACTGTTGGAGAACCTTCCTGTACTTCAGTTTCCATGTCTATAAAATGGGGGTGCTAAGACTATTTCACAGAATTATCTTTGTGGTTTCCATGTTTCTCCTTCTTTCCTCCTCCGTGTGTGTGGGGGTGTGCACACGTGTGGAGAGGGGACAACCTCCCTCAGATGTTCTTCTGAGGAATGGTTACTCACCGGCCTGGAGCTTGCTAAATAGGCTTGGTTGGCTGGCTGGTGAGCCCCAGGGATCTGCCTATTTCTACCTCCACAATGCTTGGATTGCAAGTGCATGACACCATGCCCCATTTTTTCCTTTAAAATATAGAATCTGTGGCTAGAAATCAGGTCCTCATGCTTGCAAGTCAAGATGGTTACAGCACCAGCCAAGGCCTGAGTCCAGGTATGGTTTATCCCATGTGCATTTGTTTGTATCACATTCTGGAGACTTATGGTTCTTAGAATCAATAAAAAATTAATATTGTAATTGTATCAGTGTGTAAGTGGTGTGAGTGGGTATATATATATATGTGTGTGTGTGTGTGTATGGTATATGTGTACAAGTGACTGAGTGTGCTCGCTTGTGTATGTGTAAGTGTGTGTGTGTGGATTGTGTACATGAATATTTGCTGTATGTGTGTGTCTGTGTATGAGACATATGTCTGTGACATGTGTGGAGTATGTATTGTATGTGTGCGAACATGTAATGCATATGCATGTATGGGGGTAGGTAAGTGTCTTAGGGTTTCGATTGCTGCGAAGAGACACCATGATCACAGCAACTCTTATAAAGGAAAGCATTTAATTGGAGCTAGCATACAGTTCAGAGGTTCAGTCCATTATCATCACGGTGGGGCATGGTGGCACGCAGGCAGACATGGTAAAGTAGCTGAAAGTCCTACATATGGCAGGCAATGGGAAGTGCTCTATGGCGCTGGGAGGTGTCTTGAGCACAGATGAGACCTCAAAGCCCACCTCCACAGTGACACACACACTTCCTCCTCTTAATAGTGCCACTCCCTTTGGGGGCCATTTTTCCCAAACCACCACAGTATATGACTGTGTGGAATGTGTGGCGTATGTGCGTGTGTGGGGCATGTGGGAGTATGCAGGGTGCACACACATACACACAGGCTGGAGAACACCTTTGGGTTCTCAACCACCCTGTATTGAAAACAATAACAATAGTTACCACTTGATAGCAGACTATTAAGTCTGAAATAATCTGTTCTTCTCTTCCTAAGCTGTTTCTCACTTCACAGCCTAAATGGAATAGACATCACTAGATCCAATTTACAGGTGAGAAAAACAAAGCCTCAGAGGTGAAGTAGCTCCCAGCAGGCCAGAGGTAAATCAGCAGCTGGGACTCCATGCTCTGCCTTCTCCACCAAGCCTGCCACCCTCTTAAAGTTACAACCCGAAGGACACACAAACCAGAGTCAAATGTAAAAAGCAGACTTTTATTTAAAGCAAGTTACATATATCATTTCCTTTTTCCTTTCCGAAAACTTTACCAAAGGCTGGTCTCAGATTTTCTAATTCAAAAGCACTTATTTCAGAAATTAAACACATCCCGTAACTAAAAGAACAGAGACTTGTAATGCCAGTGTGGAGTAATGGATGAAATAAATGTGTTGGGGACTGGAACAGCCGTCATGCTTTCCCAAGTATCCTGTCACTTCCCTCCCAACCCCTTCTTTCTACCCATCAGTAGCATCCGAATGGCAGCAGAGGGATCCAAAGATGGATCAGGAGGCAGATACTGACCTCTGAACCTTCAGCCTCCTGTACTGACTTCTCATGCCTCTCCCTTAGGCTAACAAAGATGCAAGCTTAGCCTTCCTGCCAGACAACTGAAAAGCAAGCAGGGAGACCCAAGTTTCTCTACACACTTCCTTACCATTCTTTAGGGCTTTCCTTAACCATTCTATTGGTATGCACACACACACATGCACACACATACACACACACATACATACACACATGCACGAGCATGCACACACAAAGATCTATTTTTATGTAACAATGTATCTATGAGTCTTGGTGTCTGATTCTGAGCATCTTTCATTTGTATAAAAAAAAATGGAAGACATCTATTATGGATCCAATTAGTAGAGACCCCAGGCTAGATCCTGAGGAAGGCAGGCTTTTCTGCAGTCCTCCCTTGGTAATCTTACTAGGGATAGCAAGGAAACACAGGAATTTAAATAAGGGCCTTGCCAAAAACAACTGGAGATCCCCTCCTCCTTCCATGTCCCCTCGATGACTCTAAGAGAGAGATCTGGGACTGTGCTACTTATCACCATGCCCCCTCTTGGCATTCAGACAGAGGAAGATGTACATAGGAGGGAATGGTTCTCCAGTGTCTTCTCTCTCTCTCTCTCTCTCTCTTAAATTTCCATCTTCACAGCAGAGTTGTATTTTCCCAGGAGAACCTGAGAAGCACAATGCTGTCTTTGTTTCACCAAATCCTGGGGAAATTCCACTGAATTCAGTGGCTGGTAACCTGGCCAGCATTCAAGAGAGGATGGTGGCTTCTTAGACATTCCCGTTTATAAAGATTTTAGAGGAACACTGAGTGAATAGCCAAGGAGGTAGGCAAGGATGGTTTCTATCATAGGTTGAACTGTAAAGGAGTGCAGGATGATGGGTGGTGGCAATTCCAGTGATACTTGTGTGTACAGTGACTCCCTAGAGGTCTTGCCACCTCTGTGACTCTCCTGACAGAAAGGCTATAACATCACTAACATGAGATGTTTGCCAAAGGCATGAAACAAGGCACTTATAAGGCCGATGCTGGCCGAGGTCCAAGGATACCTCCTTAAGATTGGGAGGAGGGAGATGTAGCCAAGGACAGCCCACAACCACCTCATTGCCACTGGAGATATGGTTCATGGAAACAACAGATCCAGGGAATAATATAATGTAAACTATTTGATGAATATTCTCGATTGGTTGAGAACCTTGGGCTTACTCCCCACACCCCCCCCCCAAAAAAATGGGCATAGTACCAAAAAAGCCAAGACTTGGACTTGGAGGTTTTATCTGGTATGTTGCTGATGTTGAATCCTCGTGTCTGTCCTTCCCAGGCCAGATTTTGCCATTACTCCCATCCCTGCCTGCACCCTATTCAAGAAATCATGTGAAAGGCTTCCCTGTGTATACTGGTAGAGGAAGAGGAGGACTGGGACCTGAGGAGTAGCCCTGACCTTGAGAACACCCTCGAACTGTAATTTTGAGAACTGATGAATAATGCCATCCAGACCCAGGACCGGAAGGAGCCCAGTGGTACTGAGAAGAAGATACTGTAGTGAGAGACTTTTTCTCCCTATATCAGCCTCCCGACATCCCTTCTGGGACTGATGCTCACCCAGATGGTCACACAGATAGGTCATCTGACCTTGCTTTGCTGCTAGCCTTGCTAAGGCGGCGCTTGTCACCATGGTAGCCAGGAGGAAGGCGGTGGCCTGGAGAGGCTCCATTGTGTTCCTCCGGCTTCTGGCCATACTGCATGTGGATGAAACCCCCAGAAATAAGCTCCTGATCTGGCCCTTCCTCCGTAGCCAGAGTGTCTGGATTCTTCCGGGAGCCCATATTATTCCTGAAGTCACTTAAATACTTTTCGCCTGGCCTGTTCTTCAGGCACTGATTGAAGTCAGGGGGAGGAGCGAGGCTCTGGACTAGGCTGGTGGAGGGGCCAAGGAGCTGCTGCTTATCCATACCTTGCCGGGACTTGACAAAGCGCTGTCGGATCTTCTTCCAGCCCAGGTGGTAGAGTTCAGCCAGGCTGAGAAAGAGAGACAGTGCAGCCACAGCCAGCATAAAGACAATGAAGACATTCTTCTCTGTGGGCCTTGAAACATAACAATTGACTGGATGAGGGCAGGGACTCCTGCGGCAGACATGCAAGGTATCCAGGAAGATCCCGTACAGGAGGTACTGGCCCACGATGAAGGCCACTTCCATGGTGGTGCGGATCAGAATGGTGCAGACATAGGTGTTGAGTAGAGTGCCCTGGAGGACAATCTTCCCATCCACTTCCTTCCAGCAGGACAGCTCTGCCTTCTCGGCCACCGGGTACTCATAGGAACCAGTACCGCGGGCTTCTTTGGCTTTCTCTGCATCCCGCAGCTTCTGCTTTTCCTGCATGCGCACTGTGTGCATGGCATGGCCCATGTAGACCAGTGAGGGCGTGGACACGAAGATGATCTGCAGTACCCAGTAGCGGATGTGGGAGATGGGGAAGGCTTGGTCGTAGCAGACATTCTGGCAACCAGGCTGAATGGTATCACACCGGAAATCAGCCTGCTCATCCCCCCAGGAGGACTCAGCAGCGGTGCCCAGGACCAGCATTCGGAAAATGAATAGGACGGTGAGCCAGACCTTGCCAATGACGGTAGAGTGCTTGTGGACCTCCTCCAGGAACTCCCCCAGGAAGCTCCAGTCACCCATCTTGCCAGACTTAGGAGACCGATTCCGAACCTTCTGCAAACAGAGCAGACAGAAAAAGATGTCTGTGAGGGATGTTTCAAGAGGTTTTAGAAGGTCCCATCATGCTCTGCGGCATCGGTCAGTACCAACGTGTTCCTTAGGAAAGTGCAACCTTTGTTGGGTATGGTAGTACGCACCTGTACTCGGAACACTTGGGAAGAGGATGCAGGGGAATCGAGAGATCAAGTCCCCTGTGGTCTCATAGAAAGTTAGTTACAGGCTAGCTAGGCTTCACATGAGCCTGTCTCAAAAACAAAAGTGATTGTGGATAGTTTAAAATAAATTGCATATGTCAAAAACTACCCTTTAATTATTAGAGGCTGTTTGTGTTTATTTTGGGTTTTTGTTTTGTTTTGTTTTTTAGTGATGTGACCTGAGATTCTGGAGTTCGGTCCTTAGTAGAGTCAACCTGACCCACTTTTGTACACATGAACTGACAGAGGCTGTGGTTGCGCGCACAAGGCAAAGTCCAGGCTTGGGTGGGGATGGAAGTCATGAAGTCCCACCCCTAGGTGAGAAGCTATTGGCAGCTGATGGCTACTGGGCAAGAAAGAGACAGCTTTCTTCCGAGATTTGCCCCGAGAAGCTACCCATGCTGCAGTCGATGGCCCTTCCCCATGCACATACTGGCAGTACTAAATCGATTGACTTAGTCAAGAGAAGAGCAGATGAAGTTGGAAGGGAGTAGTGCTGGGGAGAAAAGGGAGGATCTGAAGGGAAGGGAATGGGGGTGGAGTGAATTTAGTAATTTACTTTTTTAAATCATAAATTGAATGAGGGCAGGGCCAGAAGAGATGGCTCAGCAGCTAAGAGCATTTGGCTGCTGGTCTAGAGGACCCAGGATTTGTTTCCAGCACCCACATGACAGCTCACAACCTCCCAAAACTCCAGTTTTGGGGAATCCTGGCCTCATGGGCTGCTGCATGCATGCTGTGTGCACATGAGTTCATGTAAACACACAATCACACACACACACACACACACCAGATACTTAAAACAAACAAACAAACAAACCAGGACAGTATAATTTTTTTTAAAGCCAGATGTACTGAAACGTGCCCTACCATTCAAAAGTTAGGGAATTCTAAACCAAGTCAGTCACATGAAGGTTCTAGAAATCATGTAAGGTGTGTGTTACAATGTAGAGTCCATATACTGCCCCCAGACATTCTACTTCAGAAGGTGGTATGTTAGAGCATAGCTGCCCCTTGAAGACTTCAGTCTCTCTAGGAGGCCCAGATCCCACCCCAACCCCCATCCTTAGGATGGAGAGTTAAAAAGACTTGTGTTGTGGTCTAACCGCAGGCCCCTAATTGATGGTCCTAATCAGCACCTGGCTCCTCCATGCTTTGACATGTACATTGTGCTAAACTAGACCATGTGGTAGGAAGTTCCCACCACCCCCATAGAGATATAAAAACCAGATCCATCCTTTGTTTAGGGATTTCTCTTCTCCAAGGGCTTCTCTTCTGGGCCTGCCTCACTCTAATTCTACCATAACACTACCTCAAGTCCTTTTCTTTTAAAAACGATTTATTCTTATATAATGTTTATGAGTGTTTTTCCCTGAATGTGTATATGTGCTCCTGGTACCAATGGAGGCAAGAAGAGAGCACAGCATCACCTGGAACTGGATTTATGGATGGTTATAAGTTCCATGTGGGTGCTGGGAACTGAACCTAGGTCCTCTGCAAGAACAGCAAGTGTTTGTAACCACTGAGCCATCTCTCCCGCCCCTCTCTTCTTTCTTTAAGCTAACCCTCTTAGTGAAGCTCATATCTGGGTTGTACCTTTTAAACCCTTGTTTTGTGTTTGTATGATTGCCCTGTTCTTTTCCTTCCATATGTATATATGTGTGTGTGTATTTGTATGTATGTATGCATGTATGTTTTGCCTGTATGCTTATGCATCGTATGTATGCAATGCCTGCAGAAGCCAGAAGAGGGCATCAGATCCTCTGGGATTGGGGTTACAGACAGTTGTGAGCCACTGTAAGGGTGCTAAAAACTGAACCTGGGTCCTCTGGAAGAGAAGCCAATGCTCTGCCTATTGAGCTGTTTCTCTAGCCCTGTACTGTTCCTTTCAAATGCTCCCTCACCTCAAGACCCAGTCACAGTTTCGAGAACCTTTCCCCTAATAAGCTAATTCCTGAAAATAATTGCATGTTGCTCCTTTCCCTACCCAACCATTTCTATTCTGTTATTTCTAATAGGGAGGCCGCTTAGGAATCTGGATTTGCAGCACACATTTCAGAGGACTCTCATACCAGCACTCCAGGCACTCTGCTGGAGTTGGGACAGCAGATGTGGAGTCTGCCATGTACTCTGAGCACTAGCTTAGCAGACAGAATTGGTTTGCTTTCATTCAGGTGGCACTAGGAGGAGCTGTACCAGAGGACCTGGGATCCAGTGGAGTAAAGAATGTGATATACTGAGATTCACACCATAAATGTTTTGCACGGCTATTAGGCAGAAAAAAATTTATGACTCCAAAAGGCAAGCTGAGGTGGAAGAGGAGATAAGGAGTGATGGTTGGGGTAGCAAGCTTCGTTTCTCCAGAGGCGTTGCTACAGACCAGAACCAGCTACTGACCAGAATCAGCTGTGTGGAAAGACAGCCAACAAGCACATTTGAATCACTTTAAAGGTAGCACAGGTTCTCAGTAGGTCCCCACCTTCAACTCCCAGAAGCTTCAGGCAATATGACAATGCTGTTCTTCATGTCAGTGATATGGTACAGCCTTAGCAACTGTGGCTCTGTTTGCTAAGAGATCTGCCCATAAAAGTTGCATGAATTTCCTTTGTCCATCCATACCAAGTCCCACTAGATTGCCAGATGCTCTCTGTAGTGGTTTGAATGAGAATGGCCCCCATCCCATCCTCATAGGCTTGAATGCTTGGTTCCAGTGTTCTGATGGAGCTCTGCCCAGGGTGGGGGCTTACTTCAAACTCTGCTCAGTGTCAGGAAGCCCCAGAGATGCTCAAGACCACACCTACAGGATATTTGAACAGGCTCTTAAGGAAAGGCCACATGGTTTTTCTGGTTCCTTCTCCCTGTCTCCTCTCTGAGGAGACTAACCTAATCTAGTTGTGGCTTAACTGGATCAGGGTCCTGGTTGAGTCCTTGATCTCCCTCTTCACAGTACATGAAGACGAGAAATCTAAAACTAATCTCAACCAGACAGAGATGCCTTCTTTAGGCACTTAGCATGGCACAACAGCCCTCTACCATATTGCTTCTGGTTTTTTTGCCCATGTCTTATCATTGTAAAATCTATTCCTCAATGATAGAGAACCACAGAGGCAACTGCATACGTCCATAGTACTACACAGCTGTTCCAACTACCTAAAAAGGAAATTTCCTTTGTGTGGCCAATGTCTAGCCATCTATGAAGAATCTACCTCTGAATAGGGAAAAGATCTCATTGGTTCCCAGGTTGTGTTGGAAAATAACTCTTCTCCCTTTGAAAACTTTAGAGACTTTTAGTTCTCAATTTGGCATGGTTATGTTTGTTGCATAGGTGGAGATACAGGGTAGAGAAATCTTTCACCCAGTTAGTGGAACAGTTTGGGAAAGATTAGGAGGTGTGGCCTTGTTGGAGGAGGTCACTGGCTGTAGGTTTTGTGGTTTCCAGAGCCCACACCAGCCAGGCCCAGTCTCTCTCTGCCTGTGGGTCAGGATGTAAAGCTCTCAGCTGATGCTCCAGCGCCATGCCTGTCTGCTTCCCACCATGATGATCATGGACTAACCCTCTGAATCTGTAAGCAAGCCCCTAATTAAATGTGTCTCCTCACAGCAGCAGAACAGTAATGGAGATACCCCCCTTCCAGCTACTTCTTACATACCCTCACACTCAAAGCTGAATCCCATTTACCTAGCCACTGCTTTCTCTAGGTCTCCCTGCTCCCTCTTCTGCTACCGTGATGCTGCGCAGGGCACTCATTCTGCACCCAGCACTTGTTATCTTCTCCCCCAGCAGGGAGATTTTGAGAACAGGTGTCTTTTCTTCTGTCATTCAGAGACTGGCCCAAAGTAGGTGCTCAGTAGATCTTAGCTGAGCAAAGGGGGAATAACAGGCACTGGTGTCCTCTACCCAAGGGCAAGCCAATTGCTTGTTCCTAGTCTGTGTCCTGTTAGCAGGTTGAACCACCCAGATCGATGGAGCCCGAGAAGCAGCTCAGTATTTTGCACTTGTGGCTCCTAGAGAGGACCCAGGTTTAGTGTCTAGGGCCCACAAGGTGGCTCACAACCATCTGTCACTCCCAAGGGATCTGGACGCCCTTCTGACTTCTTGTGGACATAGTTAAAAACAAAGTAAATCTAAACAATGAAAATGAAAAGGGGGAGTTGGAAATGGAGAAATAATTACTAGTTAAGAGAACACAGGTATAGGAGATACTCAGGCTTCTAATTCCTGTTGTTACATGCTGAGCTAGAACAAGTAATTCAGTCTGTGCTCTACTGCCTCACCCACAAGGTGGATGGAGAGACTGGGACTCAGCTAACAGAGTGCTACTGGGTGACACAGAGTCAGCCCTGGACACAGAGCTCAGCATATGACAAACAAAAACCAAACCATCACCAACTAGACTCTAGTTAGGACAAAGGAAAACTAAAAGAGGGGAAAGTGTGATACAACAGAGAAAAGAGAAATGGAAGGAAGACCAGAAAGGGAGGAGACATCAGAAGAAAATGGAAAGTCAAAGGAAATAAAAATAAATGACATATTCTTCCAGGATCCCACACTTAATCCTGGAAGAATTTTCTCTTGATCTTTTCACTCTGCCACTCATTCCATACAAGTCCCCAAGGAAGTATAAAAATAATTCCAGACAACCACTGTGACGCTTTGGTCTGGTCTGCCAAGGGATCTGACTGCTGGGTCCCTTGCTTGTGGTCAAGGGGTGACACCTGGAAGAAGGAATGCCTGGGTTTAAAAAACTACTTGGAAAACCAGAAACACAGTATTAGGAACGGTGTCTCATTAGAGGGGAG